AATTTATCACGAAACTTTGCATGGCCCTTCTGCAAGCCAGCGACCAAACAAAAGTTTTTTTTTCTCAAAAATTGGTGACCCAGTTTTTAAAAAGTTTCTCTTTTGGGGCCTTATTTCAAAAACAGCTCTTTGAGGGCAAACACAGGATCACTAAAATAAATGATATGGCTTGCACGACGCTTATGTCATATTATATTCACACCAAAAACTACGAGAGAGAGAGAGAGAGAGAAAGAGAGAGAGAGAGAGAGAGAGAGAGAGAGAGAGAGAGAGAGAGGGGAGAGAGAGAGAGAGAGAGAGAAAGAGGGGAGAGAGAGAGAGAGAGAGAGAGAGAGAGAGAGAGAGAGAGAGAGAGAGAGAAGGAGCACAGAGGAAGGGGCAAAGGAGGAACCATAGTTTACAATGACGTTTATAATGGACATTTAAATTCTGAAGGTCATCCGATTTCTAGACCTGTATGCAAAAAATCTGAGAAGTTTAAAAAGAGAAATGTTATTTTATCTTGTTTTAACAGCGGTCAAACAAAAGCGAACAAGCTTCTACCAGCTTGCTTGCATCTGGCTCGACCGACGCTTATGTCATTTTATATTCACACCAAAAACTACGAGAGACAGAGAGAGAGAGAGAGAGAGAGAGAGAGAGAGAGAGAGAGAGAGAGAGAGATGGAGAGAGAGAGAGACAAAGAGAAGGAAAAGAACGAATGAGAGAAAAAGAGAGGGGGGTTTGGGGTGGCGTTAGAGAGAAGAGGAGAAGCCAGATTCACTTTTGCAAAGGGAGTGTATAATGTTTCAACTCCAAATCCAATATTCATCTCCAACAAGACCGAGTATGCATGCGGAAACCCTTAGAAAAGCTCCATAAACAACCAAATTTCATCCTAGGAGACCACGTTGGAGTTTCGAACAAGCGGCACCCATAACACAACCGGGCATGATGCCTACTGATAACACACCGTGCTACTTCAGTACTGTAGTCATCGAGTCCCAGCCCAAAGTATTGCAGTCCAGAGTGTGTGATACTTTAGCTCAAGTGTAATCTGTTTTCGCTAATATGTGATTCTTTTGGTGACGTGTGACTCTTTTGGTAATGTGTGACTGTTGGGAATGTGTGATTCTTTTGTCAATGTGTGGTTCTTTCGAAACTGTCAAATATTTTTCTAATGTGTGAATAATCTTTGGCTAATGCGTCTTTCGTTTGCCTAAACACAATAATTCGTTTGCCTGAGCTCAATTCGTGTGCTTGTGTGTAGTTGTTGACCTCAAGACTAATGTGCACTTATTAGTGGTCACGATAACAAAAAGAGCATGCACTACGCTTGTAATGAGAGCCCGCTGTCCAGTTCTCATCATGCTTATCCACCGAATGTCTCAATGACCTTGTACGTAGATTGCATTGCATGTCAACAAGAAGTGGAAGGGGAAATAATTGCCGCCAAAAAACACAGTAACTTGACATTGCGCGTTCCACGATTATTTTGAAAACAAAACAAAACTCGAAAACTCATGACACATATTACTGAGATCAGCCATACTTTTTGTTGTTTTGGTAAGAGTTTTGCGGCACTCACAGTTGCATAAGGTCATTTGAGCGCTAAGTCACACTTTGAAAACTACTACTTCGAATGTAGATGCGTTGTCCTGCTTTTGACACAGAAAGGATATACATGTACGAGCGTACATATTATATATTATAATAATATTATTAAAACAAAATGGTTGATTTTTTAAGAACTTGTAAAGTTTTGCTTTTTACTCAATCTCGGTTGAAATTTATAAAATTTATGTATCTCGAACGAGTATGCTGTTAAATTTAACTGCCTACGAAGAAATTTAACGTTCCCTCAAGGTAGCCAAAAACAGGCCAAGATCACTCACCTTAATGTCGTCAAAGAGAACTTTTTCTGCTTCCACCTTGCTTGCCCGCACCTCGTCACAAAGTTTCTTAAACTTCCCGAACCTTCGCAGTATGGGGAAGTTGGTGAGCGCTGTCAAGGTCTGCACGTCCAGCATCTCGTTAAGGGCGTTGTCATAGCGCTCTAGGATGTCCACCACTTCGTAGCTCACCTTCTCCACGTTCATGTCACCGTTTACCTGGGCACACACATCATTTATTGGGTAATTAATTCAAGTGGAATGGAGGTCAGCGGGGGTTGAAGGTGGCGGTGAGGGGTTGGGATGATGTTGTTTCGCTCATTCTGTGTGGTTTTTTCCGGATTTCGTTGGTTGCTCTTGTTTTGTGTTGCTTGTTTTTGTTAAGCTTTATGACTTTACGTTTAATTCGTTCTTTGGAACGCGATGTTGTCGGGGGTTTTTTCTTCTGTTGTCTTTATTGTTAATGTTGTTGTTATAGTTTTTGGTGATGACGACATTGTTGTTGTCGTTGTTGTTTTTGTTGTTGTTTTTGTTGTTGTTGTTGTTGCTGCTGTTGTTGCTGCTGTTGTTGTTGTTGTTGTTGCTGTTGTTGTTGTTCTTCTTCTTCTTCTTTTTCTTCTTCTTCTTCT